TAATGTAGATCTCCTCGAGCGGATCACGAATATGTAAAGCATTTTTGCAAAGCAGAAAGGGGAAGCAACATATGGCGGGGAAAAGATTTTCACTGTATTGAAGTAACGTTCTGAATTTTGATTTGGCGTCGGCGGCCTGGTCTAGTGTCAGCTATTTGATTAACGGGAACTACAAACTTGATAAAAGATTCGCCCGAAAAAATTCCTTCAGCGAAAACGATAACAGCTCGAATGATTGCGTCATTGGAAACACTCAATTGGAGCTCCACTGATGGAGGATTCACTTCTGAATTCACCATTAGACACGTCTCCAAATGTGTATTTGCCTGTAAGAAGAAGAAGGTGAATTTGAGATTTTTTGTATGCAACAAAAGACTAATCGAGTTTAAAAGTTCCACAGTCAAGTGGTAATTTATTTATTGTTCATCACAAAATTGTTTTATTGTGAAGACGACATTAGTTTTTGTTCTAACTTCAACAGTCACCGATTTCGAATGAACATTTTCATTTATAATTTCTGATTCATTGAAACTGACCGGCACTTGTCTTTCACTCTCAACGATTTCACTGACAGTACCTTGTCGATTCATTTCATAATTCTTTAATTCCACCTACAAATCGGCTAATTCATTAAAGGAAATGAAATACATCTTTTTTGCTGATTACTTCAGCGTGTACTTAAGCGAGCGAGCTCGAGAACATTTGATTCACATCAAAAATGAATTGTTGAGGCACCAAATGAACTGAAATTAGATCGGAATCGAAAAGACTATATAAAAAAGGTCCTACTAGAAGGCTATGTTTACGAATACCCAAATCATGCAATATACTCTGTGCATCGTCCACATTCGATTGTTCTTCACTGATCTCGAGTCCTCGAACTGAAATCCAATAAAATGCACAGATGAATTTTCATACTGTTCGTTTTAACTGAATGCTTCCTTGAATAACTATGACTGCTGCTGCAACTTACCGTTTCCATCAAGCATAACAACTGTTAATTGAGAGTTTTGAATGAATGCATTCGCAACTTGTCCATTCACGCTTTCCTTCAGCTTCACCTCACCGTTTTCTGCATTTCGCATATCGATCTGAAGTCGTTTAATACTCACTTCCCTCACAATCAGAGTATACGAATGAACATTTATTTGGTATGATAATTCTTTATTAAGATATTTCAGTCTCTTATCAATACCATGAGTGGTGAAAAGAATGAAAATTTAAAAGATGACTGAAGGCCAGGTTAGTGAAAATTTACAATGTTAGTCGTACCTTTCCTCCTGACCAAGCACAAGCCAGCGTTTCTGGATCTGGGAATGTCATCAGTGAGATCACCTGATTCTTACTTTTAATACGCCACAATCGAGATTCACCCTGATATGCACCCAGTGTGCCATTCGCTAGTGCATATGCAAAACGCCCATGTCCCAGATCGTGAAGCGATGTGACGGCATCAGTTTCGGATAGTTCGAATAGCAACAGATCATCTTTGAAAACGCGAATATCAAAATCCTCAGAACCAGCCACTAACTGTAATATTCACAAGAGATTTTCCTTCTGATACGATCGTCGTCATTTTTTAAAGCGAAGCTCATCGGATAAAACTGTAATTTGGACATTTCTAAAATTATCGTATTTGATAGCAGAGAGGGATGAAAATTCCGAGTTATACGATTCAAATTATATCGAATCGTTCAGTCCCGTCATTGAACCAAGTGAGTATGTGAAGTGTTTGAAATTTTTCAAAATTTCCGCAGAATTTATGACCAGTAACAGGTCGTGCATATTGCTTCAGCAAATCATTGATTCTATTGTTCTGTACGCACAATAATTGAAATTGATTTAGTCCTATCAAAGTAACCTCATTGATTCCATCGTTGTCAACGTCGCAAAGACAAAGTGAAAGTACGTTATCGCCGGTGACCGTCCAAAATGAGTCATTACCGTTTGCGTCAAGACCCCAAATAGCACAATTCCCTCCGCACATTGCCAGTACTCCATGTGAACTGAATGAACCCACCTGAAATGTTTTGCCACTTAACGATAACGTGCAATGAGTGTCTTCAGCCATATGCATTTGAATGTGTTATGGCAATTTTTGAAATTATACTCGAATAGTAGTTGAACAATGAAATGACCAAATTTTCCGTTAAACCAAAACTAGTCATGAGTTGCTTAGTTGAGGCTAAATGAGAGCTACAGAAAGGAAACAATGAAAGTTTACGAAAATATTATTCGCTGCTGACAACACCAAATGATAAATGCTGCAACCTGAATGCATGCGATACCATCGGCCATGTCTTTACGAAACAGATTTGTGTTTCGTTGTAGATCATAAGCGAGCACACTGCTCGTCGTGCCGACAATAATCACATCGTAGCTTGTACCGAGCGGAGCCACTGTTAACGCAAGAATCTTCTCGTTTATATTCAGCACTGTTTCACTCTCGTGAATTACGATCTCAAAGTTAAGAAAGCTTTTAGCTGATGAAGAAAATCCAAATTTGAATTCCATTCGAAAGTATTGACCAAAAACCAAAGAGGATTTGAAACAATGATCACTGGATCTCTTTGAAACATTACTCAGTTTTGTTTTCTCATCGTGGATCCAAAATAAATTTCTCTTGGGCACTTCAATTACATTAATTGATCAATAGATTCAGTACGATAGTATGAACAATGAATTTTAAGTATATAAGCAATTTTGGTGTGATTGATGAGTAGGAAATGCTCAGCTTTGCTGGCTGCTACCTTGTTCGTGACCGTAGCAACGACGAGTCTTGATCGTGCCGTATCGTCGAGTACACCCTGTTGTGCACATTTTGTCACAGTTCGGTGTGGTAATGAAAATGAAAACGCAGTTCGAAGTGCCAGCATATTGACTGTTCCCTAGTGAGCATGATGCGACGATCATAGAATTCGTATCTGAGCACTTTGGTGTTGCCATTGGCAACCAATCGGATGATTTCCTCCTCGTATATATTTGCTATGATTGGATATAAACGGATCGGATTTGCAAAATATTGAGTGGATGTTGGCTATAAGCTGTGAACTGATGTAAAAGGTCGTTACCGAGACCACAGCCCATTATCAGTTGATTTGATAATGCAGAGTTGAGCAAAGAAATTGATTGCTCATTTATGTTTCGGCTGACATTATTTAGCGAAATTTATCGTTTCAGTGAAACTGCTAACAAGGAATAGTCAACATTATTCAAACGTTTATTGCATTCATCGTGAACACCTCTCGGCGATATTCCACGGAAATTAATGACAAATAACATTCAAACAAATACAAATAAATAGGGCAAACAAGCAAAAAAAACGACCCGCACAACAGAATATCAGTCAATTTAATGACCACACTGGAATTAATGATTGTAATCAAAATGGCTAAGAACAGTGAAATTCGCAAATATTGCAAATTCATTAGTCTCACAATGGAATCAGTGAATTTTTAAGAAACAATCCAGCTGGATCTTACTGTTGGATACGTTCTGAAAACATTGAAAAGGATTCGATATTATTTCTCAATCAATGATCTTGCTCACGATGGAGTTTGTGTTTATTGTGTAATACGATACACGTTGTAAGAATTTGGTTTTCTCAGTCACTGAATTCATTGAAAGTGTGTTCAGAATCGTTTCTCAATAACGAAAAAATGCACCTTTCTAGAGGTGAGCGCGAGTTGCACTTGTTCCCATTATTCAGAGTACAAAGAGTTTCATGGTGTTGATTAAATGCGAATAGTGATCAACTGAGTTTTGCGTACGGCAGCTAATTTGTGCATATTTCAGAACTTACTTGCGCACTCAAAAGTTTGCTTGAAAACGTCCTTGTTTGAATAATGTATCAACGCAGAAATCTATCGATATTATCAACTCTAAATGAGTTTACTAATCATTGCTTCAAGCAATTATCAATATTTATC